TCCAACCAGGACTCTGACTCCAGAGGAGATGAGGACACGCCCGGGGACAGGAGTTGTGTAGAATGGGAGAGGAGTGAGAGGGAGGTCGGATATCAGAGGTCAGAATAGTTTCATAACTGTGTTTTAAGGTTGCTTAACAAGGGAATAAAGCTAAAACTTGAACTCAGAAGGAGTAATGTTGTATTTTCCAGTTTTAATGGAGAATTTGAGAGTTTATTGTGTTTTATAGCCAGCACCCACTTAATCCTGCACCACAGTATATAGTGCATCAGATATTAAATATTAAACGTTTTCTGAGCTTAGTTTTGACCTCAGTTAATTAAAGCACGCAGCAGATAAAGCAGTTCACCCACTACAGAAGCAAGCAGAGCTCCTTTCCCAAGTTAATGCTGCGTTCAAATCAAAGACAGACGTCAGAATTTCCCAGTTGAAATGTACAACTTCCGACCTCCGAGTGGTCCAGGTGCACCACGCCAAACGTCAACGGAAAAACATGGCCGGCCGTGACAGAGTGACATTTCTTTGGCAAGTGTACTTAAATTAAAGCTCAGCAGTGCAGCCTCCTTGCATATATAAATGAAACAGATGCCATTATTTATTATTTTACGGGATTTTTAGACTTTGAGACAAACCCCACGGGGGCTGCCACTGTCGTGCGACGTCAGACACCTGCTTGAAGTCGAGGTAGATAGTTTTGCCCCCGAGTTTAGAAAGAGGAGCTCCGACTTTGAGTGGCGTTCCATTGTATTTTTTATTAGGAAGTCGGAAAATGTTGAGTTCCGAGTTGGCTGGAAACGCAGCACATAAGGAAGAAAACATGTTCCTGTCATTAAACTGTTTCAGGGCATATGTGGATGCAACAAATAGAGCCAGTGGGTTTTAATGTTTCACCCAATATGTAGCTGAAAACTCCTCTTTTTCTATTTCTTTCCAGTCTGTTTTGACTTTCTCTTTCCGTCTATATGCTTCTGTCAGAGAGAAACTTCAACAGAAAGATAACTCGGGTCACGCGGAGGAACAGGCAGAACTTGTTTTCTACCCTCCGAGTGCTTCATAAACAGAAAACATTCAAAACCTCATTGCCTCCGGAGGGCCCAACCGAACGCCCTCGACATGAACATGAACAAACTAACAAGCCGAGCCAAAGAAACAAAACAACAATGACCTTGTGTCAGTCTGCAGGCTTTTACACACACAGACACACACACACCCAGGTTCAGGTTTGTACAGTATCAGAATAATACCAGCTATCAGATTGCTGCTGAGAATGGCATTCCTGTGGATACACACAGCTAAACAAAGCGAAAAGCCTAAATTAACATCACTACCCATTCAGCTCCGATTTAACATGTGGCTGCACGTATAGCCGAGCTCGTGACCTGAGAATAACTGCTTAATTTCCAATAAGAGGCTCAGCAACCATTCAGCGAAGCCCGACTGTAGAGTGTTCGCACAAACTCCATTATGTGAGACCCATTACACGGACGCAGTCTCATTTTCCTCACATTAAATGAGAGTAAGAAAATAATCCTGGACTGGATTACTGTCTAGTTACTCCTCTCTGATCTTCATCAGGTGTTTAGTAACATAGACTGCAATAATGTTTCAGTAAACGCAACATGTTTGCGTTTGGTTGTTTTTCCAGGCAAGACAGCTTTATCTAAAATGTCAACAGCAGCAGTGGGGGAGTCTGGCTGCATGTTACTGACTACTGTCCTGAATTTTGGACAGAAATGATCAGTTATTTTCTGACAATTATCTTTTAAATTCATCGTTTTCTCTGTAGAATTATATAATATCCAAGGTGACTTGTGTCTTATTTTGTCTGTCACATTTTCCGATTACAGTCATATAAAACAGAGAGAAGCATAATAACTTAAATAATTTAAGAAAATAAAACCACCCTGCACACAATTGACTTATGCAACAACTCTGAACCACTTTGGTCTTTAAGTCAAAGATTACTGTGTATCTTGTAGGCTTTACATTATGCAAACACTTTCACTAAACACACCTAAACTTCTTTTTCCAACCCTTCCAGTCAGAGACTCGCTGGATGGTATTAACGTGGCTGAAGTCGTCTCTCTCTCTCTCACTTACCTTTATATCACTTTATATCCTTTTATTCCAACACCAGAAGCTTATTCAAGTCCCTGTGGAGAGAAATTCCCTCCACCTCCGCTGCGAAGACAGAGTCTCCTCAGGTAGACTCTGAGTCAGGGACTGTAAAGCTGTCACCCGCTAATTAACCTCAAAGTGTTTAGGTGACATTAATGTCTCTTTCACACAAATCATCCCTGTAGACTCTGCGCAGTATGTAACCAGGGCTGCTTTCTCAACCTCCTTTCTGGTGCTTCAAATTTCAAACTAAAATCATATTACAACACAATGGAGAGTAAAATGCAAGTTGAGTACCAGTAAACAACCGTTTGAGTTTCTGGTGCTAGAAAAGTGATACTGACTCACAGTTATGAAGCATTTTGTCAACAAATGCAGTTGTTT